TGCTGCTGCTCCTGCTGCTACTACCACGGCCACTCCTCTACCACTGCTGCTACTACTATACCACTTACTACTTCCTGATGCTGGTGGGGCTCCTACTACCATGACTACTACAACGACGACTACTACTACGACCACCACTGCTAAAGCCGCTACTACGACCCCTCTCCTACTCAGGCTTGTCAACATCTTACATGGCACAGTTTTGCTTCATTGAAGCCCGTGACGAACTGGAGATGTTCCCGCATGTGAACAAGCGGAGATGCTGTAATTGACAACATGGCCACGGCGTTGGAACTTCCGAAGACTCAGTAATTTGCAATTCACTGCATTTTGGGAACCGCCAAAATTGCAGTAGCTCAGTTACAACATTGCTAGCCTGTGAACCGCCAGAAATGTTAGAAAAGCTGTGATTAACAGCGTGGCATGTGCGACAGGTCCTAGTTGTTTATTTGTTGATTCTTTTCTGTGTATTGATCCGCCACGTTATGTTTTTGCTTCTTTTCGTTCTTTGATCCGGCAGAAATAATCTCCTGGGGCGACCCGCGACAGAATTGTGAAAATGACAGGACCTGGAGGGGGGCGAGGGTTTGCTGCCATTATTGCATGGTCCTCTAAACACAGACCAAGACGCCCCCCGGCTCTGGCCTCGGTGGATGAGGTCGTGCAGGAACCGTGGCTAATCCCCTAATCCCCTTTCATCACTGCTCCCGTCCTCAGGAGGTCGAAGCGATCGACTTGGCAAACAATGAGCTGGGACATGTAGGCCATGCCGAAAGTGGGCGTGTGTACGCGAAGTAATGTGCGAGGGCTGAGGGGCTGAGAGTTGTGGTTCGTTGACGGTGAGAGGCATGGGCCACCTGGCTCGAGCCCTCTGCCACCGCTCCCTGGAGCAGCTGCGTCGTTTGGATCTCTCGGCCGCTTTGCCTTCGAAACCTCCTGGACCTCGGGAGAGGGCTGGGCCGAGAGAATCAGAGACAAAGAGAGAGACAAAGCTTCGAGGGAGGGAGCAGGCTGGAGTCCAAGGCGAATGCGCTCAGCGACGAGGCGGCTTGCCGCCTGGCAAAAGGCTCCGAGCCGCCACACGTGCTACAATATACCACACGCCATGCTGCGGAGCTTCCGAGGCTTTCTAGGTCCAGAGTCGCAAGATGTCTCAGGGTTCCCGGCGTGGTAACGGGCAAGGCAGAAGGTGAGGAAATCGACAATCGTTGCAACTTTATGTGGACAAGCTGGACACGTGTTCGTTATGAGTTTCATCGCTCTGAGTCCAAACACACTGCATCGACAGGACTTCAGCATTGCCCTCGACTTCTGCGACTGGATTTACGAAATAACGCGATCCAGGACTTCCTGCGAGTCTGAAGGGTCTGTGTTCGATGTCTTAGCTGCCCTGAAGGATGGACATGCCCTGGGTGAACTCATCGCCGGTCACGGCAATGTGACAAGGCTAACGTGCCGGTCTAACATGGTGGAAGCGCAAGTTGATTTTTTGACAACACAGTCCGCTCGTGTCAGCACTTGTAGACTCGAGAGTCCCTTGGACATGGCCTGAGCTCGGACAGGCTCTCGTTGAGAAGAAACCGTCTCGCAGGCGGCTTTGCTGTGTGTTGAGGGTTGCGAGATGGCAGAACGATACCTAGGACCTAGGAGAGCTGTGGAGCAACCAACAAGCGAATCTGGCTGGAAAGGCTTTGGCATGGCAGCCCTTTTCAACGGGATCTTGGAGAACGCTCACCGAGGACGTGCGCGAGAGAATGCCGGTCGGAAAGCTGTCGAAATTATGTCCTTTCCTCGCCCTTGGCCCTCTGCAATTCCCTTCGAACTGGATGAAGAGTTTTCCGAATCAAAAACTTGAGCTTCAACGTGCAAGTGCACAAAACTGTACGTGCAGGCGGTCAGCTGGCAGATGTCGATGTCGCCTGGAACCCACTTGCTCAAGATGGACCTCTCGCTGCGAAAGCCATCGCCACTGTCTTTCGGGACATCGCTTTGTCAGCCTTGGTGGCTTCTTTAAGAGTTTTGAGATGCTAGGGTAGCTTTTCTCACAGGAGTCCGCGACTTTGTACCATTGCGATCTCAGCTACTGCTGCCTGGACTCTGCCAGCTGCGCGCTCCTCGGAGAGGGGCTACGTGACAACCATTCCCTTTATGGCTTGCATGTCGTTGGAGTCTCTCCTGCATTCATTGGGAGTTGTTTCAAGATGTTACATGTTGGTTTGCCGCAGCTTGTCTGCTCGCTTCCCTCTGAGATGTTTCAGACTCGTGTTAGAGGAGCATAGAGGAGCCAGACGGATGCCTGTGTACGGAATGCTTTGCAGTGGCTTCAGAGCTGCCACCCCATTGTCGCTGAAGCTTGCTTTTCGCATGTTCTACTTCACCGTAAACATCCGTAAGCCGTAAGCAGTGTGAATTCAAGGTCTTAGCTATGTCTTCCAACAAGTGTTTCATGTGGTGTCCCTCAAACATCGCGCTGTGATTGTGCCACTCAGGAAATGCAGCAACCATGGATGCAGACGGATTTCTGACACCCCTGCAGAAAGATCCTATTCCTCCAGATGCAGACCACAAACGAAGCTTGTCATGTTCAAGGCAAAGGGAAGAGGGTGACTGCGCTTGTTGCGATTTCAGTTCAAAGCTGAACATCGCTGAGGATCGGTGGTGTTTGGCAGTGTCCAGCCCGGGCCAGAGGTTCCGAGCTGAGAGAGTGTTGCCGCGGTTAAAGACAGCAGCAACGCAATCTCAGCCACAAGAAGGCTTACCATGTCACATCTACCAGCCATATCATGGTTGTGCCAGTGACCCGCAGCCTGAAGCAATTTTCATGTTCCTGAACAGCCATCCAACAACACAGCATGTCACCTAGGATTTCGAGGCAACTAAATCCAACCGAGAATGCACCCACTACTTTATCAGTGCGTGTTTGCTTGTTTGTGTCTCTGTTTGGGAAGGTGGTCTTTCGCGACTTCAGCATTGTCACACAATACCAAGTCAGGCGTCACAAGATCCTGTTTAAGTTCTGTTGTTTAGTATACGGAAGCTGATGCAGCTTGTGACAACGAAGCTGCATCAAAGGGCACACGAAGGCAGCATTTCCCCCGAAGCCACAGCCATTTTGCCATGAGGGTTTCTCCGCCGTGATAGACGGCACGATTACATGGGAGCTTCAGCATCAAATGTCATTATCCTTAGTTTCTCTCAAGGACCTCCTTTCCGGCTCTGCGCACTTTCAGAACTACTCACAAAGCCAGGGTTAGGGTTCATTGTGAAGCCGTTTCTGGTTTGGTTGGCATCAGATTTGAGCCTGTGTCCTCGCAGAGCTTGGTGGGGCTCGGGCCGCTGAGGCACTGCTGGGTGCTCAGGGCTTCGGTGCCGAAGACGACCTCAACGGCCGTGACGTGCTGGCAACGTGGCTCAGATATTCCAATCGCAGTGCGAGTCACAGGGGAATATTTGCGGTTGGTTTTCCAATGCAAGGAGATGAAATCTGCCTGCTGGGCCTGCGAGGGCTGGATCAGGCAAGAGATTCTCGGCGTTGACTCATGCCATACAGCGTTCTGTGACACACAGATAGGCAGCTGCTAAGTCATCCAAGCGCCGCGCAATGAGGATTGAGTGGCCCTACGATCCCGGAGAGGCCTGGCAGCAAAGAGCAAAGCCGCGTTTGGGAGCCGATCACTGGAAACCTCCAAGGATCCTCCCAGGGCCGTTTGGGCTTTCACGGCCTTGGACTCCTTTCGACGTGCCCTGCGGCTGAGACCGGAAGCAGGCAGAAACTGGGAGCCTAGACTGCGAGACTGCGAGACCCGACCCCTTGCCAGGCCACAGGCCTTGCTTCAAGGCCGCGCGAATGGTGCCTCCTGGACACAGGTGGATTGCCACATGTAGCACGGAGTGTCAGAATGTGTCAGAGCAGAAGCACAGCACCATGTCTCCGCTGCAGGCTCCAAGTCATTTTTCAGGTTGACTCCAGGATCCAGCTTCCCGGCTCTGAACAAGAGTCTCACACGAAGCAGGAGATATGGGTTCAGGAGATGACCTGTGTGTGAAATTATGGGTAATGCTACTTGTCACTTTGCCCTGAGCTCAGGCTTCTTCCCGGAGCTCGGGACAAGCTGGCGGTGCCTGCAGAGTTAACTCTTCGCATTTGCCAGGCGGAAGACCGATTCTACAACGATTCAGGCGTAGGTTATCCTTGAGCACTATCGCCGAGCAGGGAGAGCTCCACATGTTTCGATGAGAGCGTTCTTGGTGGTTGCGGCTTTCGTGCATTCGATCTGTGGGAGCAGGAGTTGCCTGAGCTGGCACCAGATCCCGATCAGGTGATTTGCCAGGGTCTTACGTCTTACATACTGCTCGCAAGGTATCGCGACCATTGCAGTGTCAGTGACGTGCGGATGAAGTGTGTATGTATGTATGTATGTATGTATGTATGTATGTATGTATGTATGTAAACATATACGTCTGTGTACATATGTAAAATATAAATATGTGAGAGAATAAAATATAGTTCATTATACTGTACCATTTATAAAAACGTTGTCTAATACATTATAATACACTAATACATACTAGTGTAATATAGTACACGTATACGTATACATATACATATGCACACACACACACAC